TAAAATTTGAAATAACACAAAATTTGTATAATTTATATATACAGTCAATTCTCTTTATAGTCATTCTCATTATAGTTACATTCTATTATATGGGATCTTTGTAATAGAAAGGTATGAAACTCAAAAAAAATTTTAATTTTACTTTATATGTTAATTATATTTTTTTACTAAAATAAATGCAAATTGGATGTTCAAAACATTTTATTGTTAAAATCTATCCTATATAGTCACAATCCATCTATAATCACTATTACACCTATTTTCAAAAATCTCATATTAAAAAGTATTGTTTATAGTCACAGTTACACTACCCAGACAAAAGTAGCAGACCTCATATTTTTATTAATTACTCAAAAACGTACATAATAATTGGGTTCAAAATTTAAACTATTATTAGTAGGTTAACTATATATAAAATTAATATTTAGTTGACCAGCTATTATTATTAATATACGCCTTTATCTGGTGTGGCATACTTTCAATTAAATTTGTTAAAATGTACTTCAGAATTTTATTCCATTCTTCATGCAAAGCACACCCCAATTTCCTTATATTTTTTACAGGTTTGGAAGTTGGAACGTTCTCTAATGTGCCTTTCCAGCTCTGACCATAAGTACACTAGTTGAATGAAGGGCTACCGGGTAAATTTTATATATCTGATTACCTGATAATCCTATTATTTGTTTTCGATTTTAACCTGAATGGAAGCTGATCAGTCCACCTGATTTGTGACTGGCTCAGTGTAGATCAGGTATAAGTCATGTGACTTTCAGGTCAAGCAGCATTAGGTAAATGTAATATGAATATCAGAAGAATTTTAGCAATCCGATATCTCTCTTAATTTTTACTGAACTGTTTATGATATCAGTTGTATATTTGCTATATCAAAACCTGATTTCTTTTTTTTTTTTTTTTTTTTTTTTTTTTTGTTTTTTTTGTTTCAACTTTTTTTTTACAAGATTAACAATAGGATTTTTGATTTTCGGTTGATGATCATTGTTTATTCATTCATTAGTATGATAAACAAATAATTTTTTAAGTATTTATTATATACAAATTAAATATAGTGGATTTTTTTTTAGAAATTATTTTAAATTTAAATTTAAATTTTTTTTATTCTCAAATTTGAATTTTCTTTTTATTATCAAATTTGAATTTTTTTTTCTTTTTTATTATTCTTAAATTGAATTTTCTTTTTATTCTCAAATTCGAATTTTCTTTTTTTCGTAAGAATTTATTTTCTTTTTTTTTCGTAAANAAATTAGTATGTTACAAATACGAAATTCATTACAACATCTTCATCCTGTAGTTCACCAAGACCGTTATATCTTACCATCAATTTTCCAGTCTTCTTAATAGCGATCGAATTTTGGCAAGCAAAGTTAGTTTACCTATCTCGCTACTGTCCAAACCACTTTTCAACTTCTTTAAAGTCTTTTTTCCTGAGGATTTGCTCTCTGTTGTCTTGTTATTTGTAGTAGTTGTACTAAGGTTGCTTGCCAAAATCCATTTGGCCTAACACGAAATGCTGAAACTCTTATATTATAGCAAAATGCCAAAATGCTGAAACTGCCAAAATCTGCCAAAACTTCCTAAAATGCCAAAACTTCTATGACTCATTTATTCACAGTTTCAGCATAACTAGCTATAAGATCTTAATATAGTTACGCCATGTTTATCTTTTTTTAATAGTATATATATTAGTTAATAGAGTTGTTGATCACTCAGTATTTTTATTATTTTTCTTTCAACTTTTTTTTTACTTCATAGTACTTACATTATGTTAGTAATAAAAGATTGTGGTAAAAAATGTAAAAAATGACCATTGTTATATAATTGTAATAATATCATGTAAAATGTTATAAATGTATAACGCGTTTTTATATCCCCTATTAATAACTCCTATTAACAACTCCTTATATGATCGTATATTATTTAATTTTGTTAATGTCAAAATGGCCATTAACTTAGAAGTTTCACCTATTCTTGGCAAACAAAAAAGTAAGGGAGGAAGGCCGTTAAATTTAATATAGGAAGATATCAATAAAGGAGAATCTGTTGGCTCAAGTAAATTTTCTGCATTTTGCAAGTATTGTAAAATAACTTGGAAGCGTGACAAAATCTCAAAACTTGAAGAACATCTTTCCAATCACTGCAAAAATGCCCCAGCAACAATTGTAAGAAAATATATGTCAAAAATATTGGAACGGCAAGATAAAGTGACTAAAAAAAGAAAACTTCCAAGTGGTCAACAATATATGGACAATTATCACGATTCAACAGACCTTTTTGATGCAAAAATTATACGAATTAACCGTGCATTAATTAAATTTTTTGTTTCATGCGAAATATCATTTCATATAGTTGAGCACCCTTTTTTTATAAATTCTATAAAAGAGCTCAATGGTAAGTATGATCCGCCAACAAGAGAGATGTTAGCTAGAACGGGAACTAGCATAAGTGAATAATAAAGTGAAAACAGAAATTGAGAGTGAAACTAATTTAACAATAGGTTTGTGGCAATATAATTTATTTTTATTTTATTTCACTATCATAATTTTTTTTTTATTTATTTAGCTTTTGATGGCTGGACCTCACACACTTACCGATCGATTTGAAATTTTATTGTAATAACACCATCAAGAAAAGAATATCTATATCAACTATCTGATTTATCAAAATATTCACATACTGCAAAATATTTATCATCAGTTATTGAAAAGGTAATTGTTGATATTGGGGTTAATCAAATATCAGCCGTAGTCTCTGATAACGCTTCAAATATTAGAAAAGCGTGTGAAATTATTCAAGATAAGTTTCCAACTATTGAAAATGTTAGGCGCATCGCGCATTATATAAATTTGATAGCATGCAATATTGTAAAAGAAGAATTTGGAGATCATTTATTACGCTGAGTCAATATCTTGACTTCTTTTTTCAAAAATTCACATCAAGAAAATTTAAAATTAACTCAGTTAATTAAGGAAAAGGGGATTGTTAGCGGTGGATGAAATCATATTGCAAAACGTGTTGGACTACGGCAAGTGAATCAGTTAATTTAGTAATTAACTTGGAACAAATCCTTATGAAAATTGTTGCCAATAACGGTAACTTATTAACAAATGATAGTATTGCTCAAATTATTCAATCACAAAATTTTTTTCTGAACTTACAAATCCTTGCATTTGTATTGGAACCATTAAGGAAAGCTGTATTGGCTCTAAAGGCGAGATCAGCTACACTTGCGGATTGTTTTCTTAGTTTGGCTAGACTTGCGGCCGTGTTGAATAAGTTACCAAAATTATTTAATTCCCGTTTTTGTAGCCATTGTGTTAAAGTTATTAATGAACGTTTTAATAAGTTCGATGATGATAAATATATCACATGTTTTTTTTAGATTCCCGTTTCAGAAGTGCAGCATTTAAAAAAGTTTCTCTCAAAAAAATTATAAAATGTGTTGCTGCGATCGGTAAAAGGCTTAGATTCAATCTTTACGAAATTGGTATTTACTCAATCAGTTACGAAAATACAAAGATGAAGAGGATCCGTTTGACTTGGATCTCTCTATTGCTAAACAAAGTCCACTCAATTGGTGGAAGTTAATTGCTACAGATCCAGAACCCGAATTATTGCCAAAAGTAGCATGTCATTTACTTTCAATATATCCAAATTTAGATACATGTGAACGTGGATTCTCAACCTTAGGGTGGCTTTTCGAGAGACGTTTAAACCTCAAATTGGCAACATTAGAATTGATGTATAAGTTAATTACCTATTGGAAATTTAATTCTAAAACGGAACTTGGTTATTATGGAGTCGATCAAAGAAAAAATATACGTCTTAGTGATGACGAAATAAATATTCATATAGCGAAAGCTTTCAAAGAAACGGATGAGAATGATGATGATGATCTTACTTCCACTCACAAATCTACTGGTAGTGAAAAATTCTGAAAGACAATTGTTATGTTTTAATTAAACTCGTATGGATCGACAAATTTATTGATTTGTCACACAATTTAATAATTAAAGATATTGATGTTTCAAAGGATCTCTTAGACGATTTTGATGAGAATATGAATGATGATAACAGAGTAAGTGATGATGCCGGTGGTGGTGAAGATGATAATAAAGATGAGAAAGGTTATTATAATTATGATGTAGATGATTTATTATTTAGTATTGATGAGAAGGAGGAAGACTAATAATTAATTTTCACATTGCAGTCATGAGCAGTTTAATAATAATAATTATAATAACAATAATAATAACAATTATAACAACAACAACAATAATAATAATAATAATAACAATAATAATAATAATAATAAAAATTATATTTTGAATTAATAATAGTAATTAATAAAGTTTTGCCATTTATTATAGTAAATCAAAATGAATTAATATATTAAATATATTATGTATATCTTAAACCCACCACGAACGTTGTGAGAACAAGTATCATGAAGAGTTGTATTATTAATCAATAGATGACAGGATTTGGTAAAAATGCCACATAGTGCTGAGAGGTCCGTTCCTATAAAAAAAGAAAAAAAAAGAACGTTAATAACGCTCTTATATTAAAGCATAAAACTCTCCCCCCTTCCTTTATAATTACCACTTTAGAATGTCTAGCAAATAAATCCAAGTAGCCGCAAATTTAATAATAAAGTATATTTAGTATTAAACTAAGAAATAAACAAAAGTAAAAGAAAAATAAACTTGCCGCTAATTCCATGTTTAAGAAAGTCTACATGCAATACAGGGCCTACCACATATGTGGCCCGGTCTAGCAAAAGCCAGGTTGGGTCTGGTTACATGATTTCAAGATTTTTTAATTATCATATGCCTATAGGTCTAACCATTTGGAAAAAAAGTTTTTCCATTCATAATATAATAGTAAAAAAGGCGTAAATATTTACACTTTTGCAGTCTTTTATTTATTTATTTTTTAAAAAAAATGCACTTTTTTAATATTTATTTTTAATAAATTATATAGAATACAGTATTAAATTTGATAATGATAATGCAAACGAAAATATTTTATCTGCTTTAGCAGAACTGAATAACACTTTTTTTATTGAAAACAATTCAAGTTCTGATGAAATAAGTATATCAGACAATGAAATTATTCCTAATATTAACGATATTGAGGATGATACTCAAAGTCTTGTAGAAAATTTTAATAAAATGCATTTAAACAACTTTGAATTTATGGAAAATTCTGATAGCTATATTGAAGACAAGGTTTATGATGATATAAAATTAAAAGTAAAAGAATTTTTTGATAAAGGAAAATGCACATGTAATTATAAGTATTTTGAGAAAATTGGATATAAGAGGTTTCTTACAAGTCGAATAGAATTTGAAGCTTTAAATAAAGATATGCGGGATATGGTTATCAAAAGCCAACTAATGGCATTTCAACATGACGAAAATACAAAAAAAGTAACTGCCAATAATAGAAAATTTTTCCATTTCAAATATTGTTTTAATAACAGCACTCCTGTTTGTCGTAGCACATATCAGACTCTTGTTGGTGTTGGTTATTCTTATTTAGATAATGTAATAAAACATTTATGAGAATTTGGTCTTGAGGAACGTATACATGGTAATACTGGAAATGTTCCAAAAAATATGATACTTGTTGAAGTAAATTATGATATGACGTGTGAAATTTATAACTTTTTAAAAAATTACTCTGATATATATGGTTTACCTTCATCTGGGCGAAAATTAAACAAAATAACTATGCCAATAGTATTTCTTCCAACAAATTTTAGTTATGCATCAGTATATTATGATTATACTCAAGCTTATAAAAAACAATATGGAGAAAAAAAATGTATTTTATCTGAAAGAACTTTTAGAAGGACCTGGAAATCCTTAATGCAATCACTCCAGTTTATGTCCTCAAAGTCTAATTTGTGCAATACATGCGAAGCAATGAAATTGGAGATTCAATATATTACAGAACATGAAAAAAAATATCAGTCACTGGGAATTATTTGGCTCATTTGAGTCGTGCAAAAGAAGAACGTAATATTATAATAACAATATTACACTCGCAGTTGAAGATGGAAAAAGAAACCCAAATAAAACTAAAACTCAGATATTATTTAAAAGTTTTGAAGAGAGCGCTCATATCACATATGATTGGGCTCAGAATGTACATGTTCCTTACTTCCCACAACAAGTAGGATCTTTATTTTTTAAAAGTCCTCGAAAAGTTCATTTATTTGGAGTTTGTAATACTGGAAACTTTCCTCACACAGAACAAACAAATTATGTTATTGACAAAGGTGAAATGCCTGATGATGGAAAACTGGGAAAGGGAGTAAATTGTACAATTAGTCTGGTTTGGCATGCAATTAAAAAATATAATTGTGGAGAAAAAAAATTAATTATCACATGTAATAACTGCGTAGGTCAAAATAAAAATAATTACTTTTTATTTTTTTATTCTTGATTAATTGATCGTGATGTATATGAAGAAGTTGAGATGAATTTTATGATACCTGGCCACACAAAGTTTATTTGTGACAGTTGTTTTGGCCTAATCAAGATTTTTTATCGGAAAAGTAAAATGTGTATAAGAGACAGGTTTTAGCCTAATCAAGATTTTTTATCAGAAAAGTAAAGTCAATACTGTGGATGATGTGACTTCTATTGTCGATAATTTCACTACAGTCCATCTTAATGCTTCCCAATGCTTTCTAAATGGAGAAGGGTTCCAGTATTACAACTTTAAAGATTATTTTCAAAAGTTTAAAAATTCCTAATATTCAAAAATATCATCATTTTTACTTTACTTCACAACACCCTGGGATTGTTTTCTATAAGGATAAACTCGAAGACAGTTATAAAGAGATCACAGTTCAAAATTTTTCTTTTAATTTTAATACCCAACCTTCTATAATTAACATTAGGCCACTTTCTTTGAAAAGGCAAGAGGAATTATACAAGGAGATCACACCTTATGTCGATTTACCATTTTGCAATATTACTTGTTCTAATTCAAACGAACACATAACAGATTAGACTAAATTTATTGTAAATAGGTTCAAAATTTTGTGATATTACCAAATGAATTAAGCTTATTTTTTGTTTACTTACTGTTGTTGATGTAGCCAGTATGTTATTATTATTTTTTTTATACTTTGAAAATTTGAAATCTCAATAAAATAAAGTTTATTTTGGTGAACTAGTTTGTTGTTTTTATTAGAAAATATTGCATTAAATTTATTGAAATATGTATTATACAAATTTTATGATATAAATTAAATAAATATAATATATTGAAGCCTAAGGCTTCAATTAATTTTCTGTGAAAATTTCAATCAAAGTTATTAAGACCGTTTTCAAAAAAATCCAATTTTTGTCGCAATGATCATCAAAATTGATTATGTAATTTCAACCTCAATTTTCTTGAAAACACGTTATCAGACAAATTCTGGCTTTTGCTAGACCAATCCTCATATGTAAATATTAACGTCAAAACTATATATTATGGAGGGCTGAGAACTTTATAATGCTAAGATCACTAGGCGCAAAACAAATTTTGAGTCTTGCAGAGTAGATCGCCAAACTAAAAGAACTAAAAAAAACAAATTCCATATTCAATAGATATCTTTCAAGAATTTCGGTTTTATAGCTTTTTTTTATATATTTTTTTAATTACCCATTTCTTTAAACAAAAAAATTTTTTGATAAATTATTTATTTAAAAAAAAAAATGTTTAATTTAAAAAATATTGATTAAACTTTTTTTCGTTAATGGCTGATCATCTACCCATACGGTATAATTAATTTAAAATGGTAAAAATTTCATATTAATAGCCGAAACTATAGTAAATCATTATAAGAAATGATACCGAAATACTAAAACAGTTTTGGCAGTTTTAGCAGTTTTGGCATTTTGAGATAGTTTGCGAAACTAGTTTCGGCAGTTTCGCATATGCCTTCCTGCTGAAACCCCCTAATTTTGGCAAGCAACCTTATACCTAGGCAAACATAGCTTGAGCTTGAATTTTATTAATTAATGCCGAAGTGACTTTAGAGAACACAGAGTAATCTATAAAGTACCGCAACAAGTGCAAAACTAATAGAAAACAAAGAACAAATAATCTTCCAAAATTACAAATAAAAGAAAAGCTAAGATTATAAAACCCCACCCTCTCTGTAAAAATAACTATGGCTACTCCCCCAAATCTATTTCAAAATGGGTAAAGTCGACTATGCTATACGTAACCCATCCAGCGCTGTACCCACTCCTAGAATCGGTAAAGAACCCATTAGCACCATCAGAAATGCATAAAATTCAATTTTTCCTATTTGACTACATACTATGGATAACAAACCTATTTCACAAAAACCTCTGGGAACTTTTTAGTGTCGTGCAGTCCAGCTGATGGGGAACTTTTTAGTGTCGTGCAATTCCCGAAGGGACACCCACCTCATTGTGAACAATCCCAAATGGAGGACACCCACCTCATTGCGAACGATCCTTCAACTTAAGATCTACTTAGATAAGTCAATCCAATGATAGCCCAACATGTGACCACCATACAACAAAAACTGCAGTACCCAACCTGTCACCCCCTTATCATCCGAGTGATCATCGATTTTGAAATTGTAACACCAAGCCAGTATGATGATCAAATTTTCCAGTATCTCCCCACCCCCAAAGAAAATAAGGTTACACCGAAAAAAGTGACCAAGAAAAACAAAAAGCAAAAAATAAAGACATAAATCTCAGAAAAACTCGAAGTGTAATGAGAAAAACCTGAGTAAAAATCACCAAACATACATCTCAACTTCGTCTCCTTATTTTAGAAGACTAACTCTCCCGTTAACAACATCAACTAGCAAGAAATACGTTGGTCAAAAGCTCCTTCCAAAAAATACTGGTCCGGCCTGCGAACCACTTGGCCAGTTAGACTTTAAAGGCGTAGGAACCGAGACGCACTACTTTTCAACCTTTCAGAAAGCCCAGGGAAACGTTCATATGGAACTGCCATCTTACAGTATTATTGGTAACTCCAAGACTCATGATAACAGTCTTAACTCAATATAAGCCGTAAGGAGTTTGGGTGAAACTAAAGACCTCGGTAATAACTTCATATAACGTTGAAAAGTCCTTTTACTATCACTCAAGGCAAAAAATCCTCATATTTTTCATCCATGTCTTCTTGGGAAAAAATGGGCAGAGCTCAACGGGAGAGAAAGTATGATGATCCTAACAACCTTATACCTAATGACCTAATATTTCATCATTTGACCAGTGAGTGTTCGATAGGATTCAGGTCAAATGACTGACTTGGCCAATTTTCCAAGATTTTTATTTTTTTTATTTCAATTCATTTTTTAACATTTTTAGCAGTATGAATTGGAATCTTGAAATAAATAACTTTTTCCATTAAAATTATTATCAATTAATGGAAGTAAATATGACTCAAGTATTTGAATATGATCACAATAGTTCATTTTTTCATCAATTTTTACCAGTGGTCCCAATCCTTTTCCCAAAAAATAATTTTACATTATTACATTTTCACCATTATGTTTTATTGAAGGATCCATATTTTTAATATTGAATCTTGTTCCAGGAGTTCTCCAAACACGACCTGGACCATCATTTTTAAATATTATAAAGCGGCTTTCATTACTCCAAATAACTGACTTCCATTTTTTAAAAAACCAGTCTTTTTTTTCAATACACCAGTTTAAATGATTTTTTCTTTATTTATCGTTAAGAAGAAGTTTGCATGCTGGAATATGGGAAAAAATATTAAGCTCATACAAATTTCTTCTTATAGTTCTAGTAAAAACTTGCATTTCAGTTTTCTTTTGAAATTCATTTTTTATTTGTTCAGCTAATTGGTGACTATTAGTTTTAACAATTTTTTTTAACATTTTTTGGTGTTCACAATTTAAAAGTCTTGGGTGTTCACTTTGTGGCTAAGTTTCAAGACTTTTTTCTTTAAAAAACGCTTTAATAGTTAGGGATTGGAACTGGTTAAGGTTAACCGGTTAAGACCTTTCAAAAAACGGTTAACCGGTTAATTTAACCGGTTAAATTAACTGACTAATTAACTGGCTAACTTAACCGGTTAAAATACAGATCATCCTAAATTAGTAATTCCTAGCCAACTTCTAACTTTAACTTTACTAGCATTAACTTTAATTTTGCCCACCCTAATAGATTCGATGATAAACCTGCAATCTTATATTTTAATATAATATATTGCATATGATATTTATAATTTAACATTATTTATGTTAAAATATTCTAAAGTTATAACCTTGATTTATGCAGAAATCAGCATA